CATATATATATATATATATATATATATATATATATATATATATATATATATATATATATATATATATATATGTCTGTGTGTCCTTATGTATGTCTGTATGTATATATGCATGTATATATAGGTTCCCACTACTGTTTCAACTGGAATGAAAATCCTTTTCAGATATTTTAGCATGTCATACCTAGAATTCTTAGATACTTTGTCAAAGAAGCTGACTTCGTCGGTTACAGAATAATGGAGCATTTACAATGCATTTCTTTTTTTAACAATATATTGTTGGCTTTACTATAAAGAAAGTTATCTTGACAATTTCTCTTGTTTGCAATATTGATGTCATGTCAATCCTTTTTGCTGAAGTAACAAGCATAGCAAACATAACATATCAATGAGTCTACATTCTCCCTACTTCTGCTATCTGTTTGATGTATTTATTTCCTCTTGGGTGGTATGATTCCTAAATTTTTATTTTTCTATTGTTGGTGATGCATCAATTAGAGAAAAGGTATCTTGCTTAAATCGGCCAGATGGTTCCATTGGTGAATGACAGATCTTAACAGTAACCAAGTGATTATAATTACTAAAAATATTTCTCTTGGTAACTTCGTTATTTTGTTGTTGGTCATTTATCAAAGATGAGAGGAACTGAAAGAAGGTGGTATCTAGAAATGCATTGTTCATTTAACTAGATAAAGTTTTTTGAAGCATCTTTTTTTGTACCTCTTGGTCAACAGGTAATGTTTAAAATGTTTTTTCTCCTAGGATAACTATACCTTTGCTCAACCTGGTATTCAGAAGAAAGTGAAAATGCTGGAAGAGCTTGTTAGCCGGATTGATGGTAAGCCTTAAAAACTAAGGGGAACTTGAATTGTGCCTTTTGGAGAGTGTTCAAATAAAACCTTGAACAGTACCATACTAATCAATCAATCTATGGTTGTGACCACAGGTTGTGACATCCTTATATAGAATAAAAGAAAAAAGAAAATAATTAGGAAAGAAGACTCGAAAATATAACAAAGAAAAGACATATATAGGAGTTGAATTAAACTGTAACCAATAGTAAAATTAAGAGCTTAAAGAATTATTTTTGAGTTTTAAAGAGAGCATGGCAAAGGAAGCAACCAGACTACTAACAGTTGAAATCTCATCTGCAAGGATGTAATTCTTGTCATTTGGCATCTGACCCCCTTAAAGCTTGTTTATCATTAGTATTTCCCCTCTAATTTAATCATAGAGAGGGTACTAGAGGATGTAATTGTTGGTGCCATCCACTTGGCTAACATTGCAAGAACAGAAGAATCTGTTACTGGAGGTTTACAAAATCTTTCTTTGGGGTCTGTAGTGGGCCTGGTTTGAAACTAAGCAGATGTAAGCCTTCCTCCATGAAGTGTTAATGATATTGACCAGATATTGAGAGAGGCTTTTATTTCTTATAATGTGGTAAACAGATGAAACTTTGAGCCAGTATCTGGTTTGAAAAGTTTATCTGAACTTTTATAACTCTTTCAGGAACAAAGTTCCTCTAAAACAGTGGTTCACAACCTGTGGGTCGGGACCCCTTTGGGGGTCGAACGACCCTTTCACAGGGATTGCCTAAGACCATCAGAAAACACATATTTTTGATGGTCTTAGGAACCGAGACACCAATTTTATGGTTGGAGGTCACCACAACATGAGGGACTATATTAAAGGGTGGCGACATTGGGAAAGTTGAGAACCACTGCTCTAAAAGAAGCAGAGAATACAGTTGTAGGTTAGGAGATAGGAATTGGGTCCATTGATTTCTACCCAT